ATCTGTTCGACTCGATACGATAGGGGAAATAGAAAAGTACACTTATAAGTGTCACTACACAGGAAATTATCTGTTCGACTCGATACGATATGGGGAATAGCAAAGTACACATGAGTGTCACTACACAAGAAAAATAATGGTACCAATGGAGAAAACATGAACTACAATTAAAATAAAAAGATACCTTGAAACCCCACAAGAATCGTTCGGGAAATCAGGTTCTTCGGATGGTTGGGGTTATCTGCATCGCTTGTGGCAGTTGTCTCCTTTTATATCTAGGATAATGTAGGTCAGCAACGATCTAAGACACTGGCATTAATCATGATAGCCATTGAAATATCATAGGTGAAAAACAGGATAGGATGATTACCGTAATATTCCTTTAGCACTGAATATCAACGAATATCATGATCAATCATCTGATTGGATGTGTATTGTAATCCTTTGCCATACCAAACACATGTAAAGAAGTTCATAATGTAACAACAGAACACAAAATTTGAATACAAAGTTTGAAAAATGAGAGAAATAAATTTAATGTGCATTGTCCAAAAGGAGCATTCTCGTGTAGTTGTAGTGTTGTTTATATCTGGTTTCTGATATTCCCACAGGTAGATCCACCCAGTAAGGTCAAAGTGGGCAAAGCGAGATCTCGATGGCGTAGACAGATAGACCTTCGTTACCACCGCCTACAGAGTATGTGTACGTCAGAGGATACAGAATCAAACTTCACCCCACTGAACCTACATCACTTCCAGTACAACCATAAATACCGGATGTTCTACTGCGGTGTGGAGAAAAGTGGCTCCACATTTTGGCGAAGACTTCTGCAACAAATAGACAGAAATGTTATCATTAGTCCATACAATATCCGGCCTGAAAACGGGCTGCTTAATTATAAAAACCTTGGCAATGAAACAATGGAAGAATTAGGAGACATTTTAAAGTTTTCTATCAAGTTTATGGTTGCCAGAGACCCGTATACGAGACTGCTGTCTGGATATATAGACAAGTTATATTCACCCAACGTCTATTTTTGGGACTCCGTAGGGGAGCATATCGTGCGAACTGTCCGACCTAACGCTACTATGAAAAGTAAAACTTGTGGACATGATGTGACGTTTTTAGAATTTGTGAAATACGTCATCAAAGCACAGACGACAGGGGAGAAAAAAGACAGTCACTTTATACCCGCCGTGGAAATATGTCATCCTTGTAAAGTGAAATTTGACATTATAAGTCACATGGAGACTTTAAAATTTGACACACGTTACATTTTAGAAACATTCAACCTTCGGTCTTACTTAAGCGTTATTGAGGGCCCGTCCTTTAACATGCTCAATGATACTATATATGATGCAGCACAGGCTTTTGTGATAATGAGGACGGACATGCGAAGATGTGTAAATGTGCACACTGCGCTTCTAAGAGTTTGGAAAAAGCTACAAATCAAAGGAATTGTCAGTTTAGATACAGCATGTCCTTTTAAAAAAGACGAAGTGTTGGATTTAACTATAGACGACCTGACAAGTGTCATCAGAAAAGCTTTCGATTCGGCTTCTCTAAGTATGTTACAATCTCAACGAAAGTCGCTGTTTTTGCAATATTATAGGCAAATACCACTGGTTGTACTACGTAAGCTAGCAGATGTATTTAAAAAGGACTTTGACTACTTTGGTTACGATCAGTTTCCAGATATTTTGTTTAAACGAACAAATGAAGATTAAACGATCGCAAAAAATGTCAGCGCATATCTTGTGAGAAGGATTCCTCTTTAAATACTCTTTATGTTTTATCGTGTCCTAAGTGTGTGTTTTAATGCATCAGCACTGTAGTACAACTTTCTGTAATTAATCAAAATGTATAAATGCTGTATTGTTTGTTTCCCCCCAACAAACTAAGATAAACCTTCTGTCAGTACTCAAAAACAAATAAAACAAATCGGAAATAAAAAGGAATTACAGTTCTACATGCTGATATTTGTGTCAAGGTGTTAAATGTGTCGTTAGAGGTAGTCATGATCTACAAAGTACACGAATGTGAAAATATTTAAAATATTTCATGTGAACCGTTTTTCCGTAATATTTTTGTCGTGAATTACCTAAGCGTATACATTGCAATGTACCTGATTCAAGTTCACACTTATCTGCTGGCAAAAAGAGTTTATATCATCCTAAAAAGTTCGTTAGCATTGATTTGTCATGTTCTTTAGAATTGCAGCGAGATATTTTGTGGCTGATGTAAAATACAAGTATTTTTTTTATTGTGTCCAGGTACACTTCAATTGACAATATCCGTAACTCTTTTCAATTAATTTTGCTGTTTATAAATTTTCAACATATGACAATGTTTTGTTTTTATCACATACACCCTTTCAAGCTTAATATGCATATTTCAGTGATCAACACGTATGATGAAGTTTCCCCTATGTTGTGATATTGTAAAACGTTGTTTTATTTAATCCGATGATTTAGCTACAAATCAATCCCCATTAAGTACGGGGGGATAACTGACCTTTTGTATCCAACTGCATGATCGTATGAGGCAACTACTCTTACCCTCCTAAAAGTTATGTCAATTTTTCTTTATTTGCTTACTGCAGTTGACATTCAATAAGCCAGCTCCATACATACTCGGCACACGTGGACAATTGTATTGCTAAAAGGCAAATTAGTCCCCTAAAACACTGGCCGGATAGTGAACGGATGGGAAGT